CTGTAGTTTTTTTCGGTCCTGTTTGGAGGACAATATTCCCTTTTTGACCCCGTGAGATAGTGAGAACCTGGTGTGCTTCTATTTTTTGATTTGTTATCAGTTCAGTTCTTCTGTCTACTCTAAAAACGTTATCATTTCCGATATTATTTGCCATATCTCGGTTGACGCTCTACAAGTAATACGCTATCTACTATGACGTTCACACCGCCTCCTATGATCTGCTGCTGAGCTCGAGCTACTACTACTACTACTACTAGTACTAGTGTCAGTTGTCACCCTTTCGTCCGAATATCAAGCACTCTGTTCAAGATTCAAGAATACATGTACGTGAATGCAAGTTAGTTGTCCAGTCCACCTACTGACGGTGCCTTCTAGTGAGTACTGTTCATCATACATCATCGAACTCTCTGTCAAATCACGAGGGCGTGATTTAGTGTAGGAAGGGAGGGTGTAGTATCCCTGCTTTACAGTTAACGCATGACTAGTACTTTGCATGACTCTTATAATTACTCTTGTTACTACTTTCGGACAAGTCCTACATCATGTACCTCACATATGATTTGATTACATCAGGAGTACCGCGCTTCTAGAAGATCATAGATCTTCCATGCATGCTGCTGTCATCACTTCTAGTATCACTTCCTTTTAGTTACTAGTCATGTACAGTCATGACTCATGTACATGTATGTCATGTTGTTCCGGACTATTCCAGACCTTCCACGTCATATGCCCGATGAGTAATGTTGCTGACTAAATTGCATAATATAGATATCTCATCTTCTAGAACACCTCGCTTAGTCATTATGTTAATGTTACGCAATGCTCACTGCATCTACGTGTATAGCAATGATGCTCTAGGTTTACTTCTCCACTATTCTAGAACTTGTACTAGAAGGATGATTTCGTAATCACTGCAATGGCTTACTAACCTTACTTTCCTACCGCCGCCTGCTTTGCTATACATACTTTGCTTGCCTATAAAAGCTGCTGTCTTTTCTGCCACCATCAGATTAGCTCAGATTAGATTAGAGCTGAGAGCAGAGATCAGAGAGAGAGCAAGTTCATTTTCACTTTGATATTAAGATAACCTCCAGGCCGTGCCGGAGTAAGTTCTGATACGTTACTGTAGTTGACTGACTGTGGGTAGTAGCCTCCTAGCCTCGCCGACGCACGTTACAGTAGTTCCTGGGTGTGATCAGGTGACAAAATGTCATGCACACATCACGAGTGCGGGCTGTCTGTCATACTGTACGTTAGTATCAGCATTCTTAGCATTGTTCTGTTGTTGTCGTTGAGCGTCTCCTCCCACTACTCCAGGCAGAACTGTGATCTTTGACATGCCCTTCTCTTCCCCGTCACCATGGTCACACGGTCACAGTCATCAATGCTATGGCGCGGCGGAGTGCAGTGCACCGAGTGCGGTCTACCTTGTCATGATTTCAGGAACGCAACATGCCTCTTCTCAGTGTGCAGGTTGATCAGAGTGTCGTGTTACGACAGGGTGACCACAGGCGGTGACCACCACCTTCATTCCGTTGCCTGCAGCAATGCCATCCATCCGACGTTGGCTAGTAAATTGCTCACCTTTTGAGCACACTGCACAGGTACTACATGTACATGTACCTTACCTAGGCTCCTAGATCGTAGCGCTAGAGCTATAGTATAGCTACATCATGTACCTGTGCAGGCTGGGCCCAGGCTAGCTGTGCAGGTTCTGCCATTTCTGGAGACATGCACAGTCAGTTCGTCGAGTAGTACAGTAGTACATTTAATATGTCATCAGAATCTGTCAGAAATTAATTCTTGTCTCTGATCTGCATAGTGCCAGTGTCCCCGCCCAGTGATGCGCCTGTTGGTGGTGCATGGTGTGCCGGCCAAACAGTAGGCCTTGGCGGATAATGCTCGAAAAGGTGGCAGATTCTGCTTTTTTTGCACCGAAATTGGCAGAACCATACAAACCTTATGGCGGGCAATTCCTCGAATTCTGCTCCATTTATTTATCCACATACCAAACATGCATGAAACTTACCAGAAAAGTACCGAATTCTGCCAATTTTTCTGCCGGCATTATCCGCCAAGGTCACGGAATCTAGAACCATTCATGTGGCAATCATGATGATGAATACGAGGCAGAGGTTACTGTACTTGTATTGTCACACACTAGTCACTATCGGCAGCGGGAATGTGAAACCACCGAAACAAAGACTGTCTGTGAGCACATCACTCATCAGCTAAAAAGGTACATGTGTTCCAGTGTCCCAGTGCTGTACACACGTACGTACAATGATACAATCATGTACACTGTAAAGGCATCATTTTGTATTCAACTCGACTCCAGTCTCCTTTCCGTACTACACAGTACATGTACACTAGTACAACTGTATATTGTAGTCTGTAGTCTGTAGCCATACATCGTGGCTAGGTACTAGGTTAGCATGATCGTAGCACAAAATGGTGTGCGGCACAATGGACTGTTTATACAGTAATACAGTAATTCACACCGGTCGATTCATTCTGTTCATGAGCAACATCATGATCAGTCATCAGTCACCTCCATGTCGGGACCCACCGTCTTCCGCAGGTTCCGGGGTACTTGTCACCGTGTCACCTTGTGTCTCTTCTGGCGGTCCGCAGCACCGGGCATGGCACAAGAAAGAAGAACCCTAAAATCTGGAGCGGCCACGCTGGCCAGATGTTGTGAACTCTTGATTCATGATTCAGTGCAGTGTCGCTAGACGTTATTCTAGCTGCCTTTACTCAGTATACATGTACACAAGAGAGAGAGAGAGAGAGAGAGAGAGAGAGAGAGAGAGAGAGAGAGAGAGAGAGAGGGAGAGACTGGAAGCTGTGTCGCAACTCTGAGTTTTACGTATTACTACGATCATCAGGCAACTGATGACTCCAAAACGGGCAGCCTGAACACAAGGGCCGGGGGATCGGGAGCAAGGTGAGAAACACTCATACTTGCGTAGATCTACGAGTCAGGTGCAGGTGAGAAGTTGCTAGACTGCGAGAAGTAAAATTAGTTAGTTTAATAGTTGCTACATGTACTTCATGTAGGTCTTCACTCTTTAGACTTGAGGCTATGCAGCAGCATAGTCTCATGTCAGTGTATAATGTAACACTTATTTTGTGTCGCCAGTAGATCTACTGGGTGCCACTTGATTGAGAAGTGGATATGGCCATTGATTGATGGGTCCCTGCACTTACCTGTACCCCCACAGGCCACAGAACTTCAGTCAAGTAACATTAGTTCAGACTGAGGGAGTCAGAAGGCGAAGCTCGAAAGTCTGTAGTAGAATCTACTGGTAAGTTACTACTGGTAGTAGGACTACATACAATAAAGTAAGGTACAGTCATCATGGTCATGTAACTAACTCATTTTGCGATCATCAGAACAAGTACATGATAATTATTGTAGGACCCATCGCGTTTTATACTGTATCATGTTTATCGTGCATCATGTATTTTGTCGCCACTCGATGTCGGTAGTGACTACACCCAATTTCCAAAACTTTCTCCGATCGCTTCGATTTTGGTCTCATTCGATTCTCCCAGGCGTAGTACATAGGAAATCTGTAAGTATTATTCGAATCGGCCCAGCCATTCTTGAGTTATAGTGATTTGAAGTGCGCAAAGTTGGACTTTTGCTGGAAACAGAAATGAATGGGAGCGATGGGAGAATCGAGAACGACCGCACAGTCCGTACATGCAGCACAGTGTACAGTGCACACGCTTCGTCACTCGAACTGCGCGTTCGAAATTGCATACTTAGGTGTGCTGGCGCAGAACAAATTCGCTCGTAGAGGAAGACGAAAGCGTCTCACCGCCTTGTAATTTCACATGGCCAGTAGTTTTTCGACGCTGAAGACGATGGAATAGTCCGCGACGCTGCGACCCGACCAGAACAACCCGAAATTCATACCCTGAAAAAGCGCTGAGCGCAGAGCTCCTAAATGTTGTCGTATGGAAACGGGACTTCGGGTCTCAAGGGCACGAACATCTCCTCTCTCAGATAAAGCAATTCACTCGATGCGATATTCTACAATTTGACCTGGCCACGCCGAAATGCACTGCCATGTCGGATTCTCCCATCGGAAGTATAGAAACTTGTTTCCAAAAAATCAGCGTCTGGGTGCGAGGGAGTAAAGTCACTAATGTCGGCGCCTGCGATGGTGCCATGCCGGCATGCCAGCGTTGCGGCAGCATTGCAGCTCACGTGTGCACTGTGCGCTGCCCAGCGGGGAAAACCCGTCCAGAATGCACTTGACTCTTGAGTGTGTGTGACCATGGTGACTGTGAGGTGCGCAGACACATAACACCAAGAAAAGTACTCTTGATAACACTACAAGGTTATACTATAAATAATATTAGCGTTACGTTACTTGTAAGTAACAGCTCCATGTGTACACGTACACGCGCACACGCACACGCCCACGCACACATACACACAATCATACAAACCTCTGTCCTTGGTCAAGGCACGCATATACACACACGCACGCACACACTGTGACACACACGCACACAACCACACACACACACACACACACACACACCTTCGCCTTACCCCCAGTCACAGGCATGAATGGCTGGGGTAAGTCAGTCAGGTGACTGGCTAGGCTCTGTGCTGATTTGGAGATGGGAGATAAGCACGTCGCGTGCATGCAGAACTCTAGAGTCAGAGTGGCATCATCGTTGTGCAATCAGACACACGCGCACACAGCACAGATCAAAATGAGTTTTTCTCACATATGCACGCACGATTGATATCGATATCGATCCACCGGACCACGGCCACGATATCCACGATCTGTGGGTGCGTTGTCCGTGCATATGCATGCAAGTCAGGTGAAGGGCTTTTCAGAAAATTATTTGTCTTCTCTGACATCGTTATTTTTTCTCCACATGCATGCAGTAGATCAATCTACGCGTTGTATCTTTCTTCTCACAGCGAGCGTTCGCTGTCGATCTACGCTGTGGCCCAAGTCTTCTGCAGCCAGCCAACCCTGTTGACATGGTTGACGTGTTGTCATTTTGTCAATGTAGTGCTAGTGTGGAGACGCCGAGGCCACTACATTTCCTTTCTCATGAACGAGTGGGAAACAGGCTGTGCTCCCAACCTGATTACATGTCGATTATCATAATTCTTATTGTGTTTCTCTGAGGAGAACACGAATGTCGTGTCAGTAAGGTGCGGTACCATACTCCATAGAGCAATTAATTCTCTCGCTCACAAGCTGTACACACGCGGTTGGCATACATCCTCAGACCATACCAACTCAGGGAGAGCCGCTAGCGGTTTGGCCAATCGCCAGTGCTCGTGAATGCTGCTCAGCCGAACAATTGTTTCCTCGCTATTATTACTGCCTGGTATCGTTGCCAGAACCTGATCCCCACTGCGTACCGGGCATCCAGTGACTGCGTGCAGTGTGCAGTCCCCTGAATTCCACAGACGGAATCAAGCTTCTACCTTCACACACAGTTACAAAACACACAGGTGAGCGATTATTCCACTAAATTATTGTGATGACCAAAGAGCACATTCTGATAATATTATTGGTGTTCTGACATGTACCAGGAAATAGTTATCGGTTTTGACAAGGGAGACGAAAAGGGAAAATATGCTGTGAAAAGTGCCTCTTTAATTGAAAACACAAATTTCGTGTTGCGTTGTGGAATCTGCTCTGGACGTGAATGTGTATCTACGTAACGTTTATAACCTCCATATAGTTATGTATTTTATTTCAGCACTCGGCCAAGGTGTTCACCTAACGTTAGGGCAACTGCTTTGAGAACAACAACACGATTCATGGGTTTCTGCACAAAGTTCAAATTTCCACATCTGGACAGGGGGCATTTGGTATATTTGATGCTTTCCAGGATGCCAGCCTACGCATACATGTGTGTATGACTTGTGCTCTACAGGAGGCACTTCTAATATACGGTGCTTAGCAGTACAATGGCATGTACTTGCATACCATGGGGCTTTCTTTTATAGAGTATGTAATCTGCCAGTGACTCTTGTCATCATATTATTCGTAACTGCATTGGCCATTAATTAAACCTGCCACCCATTTTCACGTTTACATGTAGAAAGCCCAAACATTTAAAGTTCATGCGCAAGTAATCCGACATGTACATGTACGGTACATGTACATGATTTGTATGTACATGTATGAGTGCAATGTACATGAGTACACGTACACGTACATGTACAGACAGGAGAACGAGCAGTTTTTTTTCCGTAAGTCTGAGTTTCACGAACTGAATCGATCATCAGACGAAAATTGAACATGTATTGAGTATGTGGGGATAGATGTAACAGTTATAGGTGCATGTATGTATGTATGTATGTATGTATGTATGTATGTATGTATGTATGTATGTATGTATGTATGTATGTATGTATGTAAGTTGTTTGTGGGTGAATGGATGGACACACTTGTATGTACATATACATGTATGAATGCTTGTATCTGTGAAGAAATGGAATGGCCAGTGCCACTGGTTTGTCCGTGGCCATGTTGGACTCTGTAGCTAGAACATGTACAATGTCATGTACATGTGTGCAATGGAAATGTGTTACACTGTGATAATAAATATATTATGTAAGTCGAGCAAAGTGTTGTACAATTACGCTGGAGAGTGTTTGTTTGTTCTTACATCAGTACATGTATCGGTTGATGTGATTGTCCGCCATGAATTGTGTGGTGTTTGTTTATTTGTCAACCACCACTGAACTACATTGTGACTTTCTTCTGCACACAAGTACATGACTACTAACTTGTAGTTGCTGCTACTGGTAGTTTGCCGGTATGAGTGCCACAGTGCTAACTTCAGTCTGAAAATGGCATGCTCAACTGCTCAGATCTTCATGCTGCCTCAGCAGTCCCTGGAGGGAATTCCCCCTCTGAGAAACAGGCTGAGCCTCTTTGGGAAGCCATAGAACTGGCCAAAGTGCTGGTTGATTTGTTTTCAGCCGGTCCTGGACTTGTTCACTTTTGAAGTGGGCCTCTTGAGCACTTGAGGTAGCAAAGATTGACTTGCGCCATTAGTAGTGTGGCTTGAACAAGTTAATACTACTTTAGCTAAGTGATGTGTCAAACCATTGATTAATGACGGCACTTCTGGCAGAATTAATTAGGATCTTCAAATGAGCCTTCAAGTCGCCACACACTGAAGCTAGTGGTGGCCGGATACGCCATGTGCATAAGTGTATAAATTTATTGCGCTTTGTGCGTGATAAGTGGGCTGTACTCGGTGGAGACTATTGCCTATTGGTGCCCGTCCAGCAGGCTGTGTCCACTCCCATACTGCAGCACTTAGCATCAGGCAAGCATCTGTGCAGGTGATTACTGAGTGCATGGTGCTCTATTAGCTAACTACTAGCACTACTAGCACAGTGCTAACAGAACTGGTGCCTCAGTCATTACTTGTGCTGTGCCTTCAAGGCAATCCGGGGTCAAATCAGGCAAAGTAGTCAGACAGCCAATTATCTACGTGTACACTGTTCATGACTGTAGTGATAATGGTTTGCAGTAGCCAAGCATCCTGGCCTCATGCACTGGGACAGCGAAGTGCTCTCCTAGATCCCATGCTCCCTCTAGGTAAGGGTTAGTTGTTGCAGGGCAATCTTGGTCTAGTCTGGGACGGTCTATCATACATGCATCGTGCCAGTACCAACAAGTAAGAGTAGATCTGGCCCAAGCCGCAGCAGGAGTGGTGGTGATGGCCCTGATGGGTGGAGGAGGTAGTGAAGTTGAGCAGGAGTGGTGGTGATGGGTGGAGGAGGTAGTGAAGTAAAATAGTTGAGCAGGAGTAGCAGTTGAAAATGGAAATACATGTACTAGTATTCCACTGGCATCTCATCGCTCAGTCATCGCTCAGTCATCGCTCAGTCATCGCTCAGTCACTTCGCACAACTACCATAGTAGTTTGCTTGATATCCTCCTTCGTCTAGTACTTGTATTGCAGTCATGCAGAGAAGAATGGTCATGTCCGACCAATATAGATGTATGAGTACTCGTACATGATATTGACCAGGGCACTCAGGTACCATTTTCCGTGTGGTTGGAAAATGATCAGCACTCATCCTTGAGTAGTGCACCTGGTCGGGTTGGGAGACGGGGGGGGGGGGGGGTGATGTTTTAATCCGTACAGGGTATCTAGCTACATGCATGTCGGCTGCATGCAGTGTTCCGGCTGCATGCAGTGTTCCGGGTAGCCATGCGCCAGCTTAGGCGATTATTTTCTTGTTCAGTTCATGTCATGCGACACTGCCACTGATACTGATAGGGCAGTGGGAAAACAACATTCTTCTCGACATGTCCGCTGGCCATCAGATACGGGGAGATGACAGCTACTGGTGCCTTCCAGCACAGGTTCTACGTTCGTGTGACGATGATGCCTTGTTGACGTACTGCTGATGTTGTAGTGTGTGCACGGATATTGCTGTTTGGCCTGGGCTGGTTTTTTGCTGGCCTGCTGTGATCTGCTTCAATAATCCTACTTGAAATAGTACACTAACTTTCAACCTGTCTCCCCCCCCCCTCCCGTCTAGTCTGTCCCTTAGTTGACAAAGATGGGTTATTTTACAGTGAGCGTAGTCATGGTAGCAGTGTCATGTCAAAAGGTTTATAGAGACCACATGAAACCGTGTGAAAGAGGTCGTATCTATTGGTGCAGATCTGAAGCATGACTTGTACTGGTGTGAGAGTGAGTTAGGTCTGTTTTGGGAATGTACTAGCTACGTGCACATGCAGGTATGACTCATGTTTTCAAGGATGATCCTCTTACAGGCCACATGCATCTTTAGATTAGCGTGTTGTGCCACGTTCAAGTATTACAAAGGTACACGTCCATGCTGGCATATTCATAATGGAGTACAGTCAACTTCGCTAATAACGACTGCGGATATAACGACAATTCGCGAATAACGACAGAATGTTCATGCCCAGAGCATAGTCTCATCTAACTGTAATACATATAATGAGACTTCGGGTATAAGGACACTTTTCTGATGCCCCGCCGAGTGTCGTTACACGCAAAGTTGACTGTATTATGTACAAGGACTCACGTACCATAATCATACATGTATACAACTCCTTGTTCTTGACCTGCCCAGTACGCGAACCCGTCGAATTTTTTAAATTTTTTATACAAGCTCTGGTTGTACTGTTGGCATTTATGTCAGTCCGCCACGCCATGCTGTCCGTTTATCTGCACGAACCAAAGCTGTACACTGCAACAGTGAGTGGGATCACAGTGTGTACGTGTGTGTGTGTGGGGGGGGGGGGGGGGTGTTTGTGTGCACGTGAACGTGAATGTGTTTTAAAATTGTGCGCGTGCATCTCTCCGCAAGTGCAGTGTTCTGTTTCTTGTACATATATGTGAAGTGAGACTACAGTGTGTTGGCTGTGTTGGTGGTGTAGACCGACTTTTGCCATGAAGCTATATTATGTATATGACATTCGTACCCGAATTATCAACATGATTTGTGTTCATACACGGCGAAATATCAATATGTGTGCGTGGGCTGGATTGCAAGTCATTGTTTCTGTGCAGGGAAAGTTCGAGGTTCCTTCTTGCTCATTCTAGCCGATAGTGAATGGCAGGAGAAGTCACCGCTGTATTTGGCGAATGTCTCTGCAGCCACTCTGCCAGTCGTCCTTTGTTATCATCATGTGAGAATGTGGCTGCTTAACGTCAGCGAGTCTGTCAGCCCGCACCGTCATGTCTGCTATTGCTGTAGCTACGTTTTGCCTAAATGCGTCTGTGATGAAGAGAGAAGTGGTGGTGTTGACACCAGCTATTGACAAGGCCGTACGACGGGCGTAACCACTGGCGTCAGCCATTTCACCACACGCTTGTCTCTTGGCCGGTCACGAGTTCTCTGGGTTTCTTCCCTTATCAGCCGCAGCTGATCAAGCGCGCGTGCGTTCCAACCTTTTCGCCGACCACCGATATTTTTGAAACTAAGCGAAACGCTCAGTGCCGTTTAAAAAAAAGCAATGAAATGCCGTTGGAGGCGGTTGGGTTTGAATATCACCACACACAGATGCATGTGCGAAACAGTGCTTCCGAGGAAGCAAGCATAAACATTAACACTGGCTCTTGCCGGTGTTTGGTGCCGCCCAAAGAAACCTGTGTGCTTGTGTCGGTTGGTGCGGGCCCCGGCACATCCAGCATTGAAGGTACAGTCTACGTCACTCCGCATGGCCAACTTTCCACGTAACGGTATGCACTACACGGCTACATTAATCATGTTTTCCTGTTTATCATTTTCGTTGACGGGTTCGTCGAAAGCAGCGGCAGTGGTCTTCTTCGCGCACATCCACCACACTGTTGGTTTAGTTTTTTTAACTGTGGCCGGTGAAATGGCACGGAATTCCGACCAAGACCCTGCCCTTGTAATTACTAGTGTTTGTGCATGGCATATCCATGTAATTGTTCAGACGTCACTACTAGTACTAGTGTACTGGTGATGAATGCCAGTGACGCTGTGACTGATGCCCACGCTGATCTCATGAATTTTCCACTCTAGCTCTGGCCTGTTCAACACGTTCCTGACAAGTCACTTCTGAAAGAGGCTTTTCAAGTTCTGAACCATCCATGCAGCACTGAGTACTTCCTCGCTGTGCACCAGACCCCTGTACTGTGTTTCACTCACACACTCACACCACAGGCGAGTCTGGGCTAGTGCACAGCGAGCTTTCTTACTTCATATGGCCATCACTCATCCTCATTGGTGACTCACTGGTCCTTGTCCCACATCGGCATCGTCCGTCCAGGCTTAGTTTGTGCGCAACTGTGTTCACGATCGATCGCTTGCAGGTCAGTCGTAGCTAGCTGTGGCCGGAGGCCAGAGAACTGCGCTGACTCTGGGACTTGAGACGTTGAGATGTTGAGTCCTGGCCTGAGCTGACAGTCGACAGCACGTCAGCGCAGCGGGCCTGTTTCTGCCTGTTTGTTCGCGAGACGCACATGCAACGTCGTAGTCCTACTTCCACACGTGTATGTCCGCATTCCCACTGTGACTTGCAGTAAAGATCAACAGACTACACTGAGTGTCACAGGCTAGCCAGTTGTGTGCACTCCGTGGCTCAGTAATCCCCTGACCCTGTCTGCCGCCCTGCGCTGCATCAGTGCATGCATGCAGCGTCGCTCGTTTCGTCGCTGCTGCAGACTACAGTACAGTACAGCTGAAGAAACGAGCTTGTACATGTAGTACTTGTAGGTCTAGTACCGTGCGTGCGCCACTGCTGGCTGCACTTCTTTGGGTCGTAGACTGGGACCGAGCACGTAACGACAGTGTTGTTCTCAGCTGATCTTGTCGACTTGTTTTCAGCGCTATGTGCGCAGTGTAGCCGTTGTGGGCTTTCTTTGCTGGCCCTTTCTCGCCAGCAGACTTCGGAACTAGGAGTGCGTTAGTGCTAGCGTTTGGTAGCTGGTGGTGCGCGCCCAAGGGCTGGGTGAGGGAGAATAGCGGCTGGGTTCTCTGGCACGGTACGTGTTCCTTGGCGTTTGATGTCAATAGGATTTGTGTCGAAGTTTTCGAACCTGAGAACTATTTCCTCGGGCTGAGTACGTTGTGCCCTTGCGCGCTGTGGGCTTTCCTCTGGCTGTAAGAAGCGGAACAATTAGCATGCTGTTTGTCTGTGCTCTGCATGGTGTCTTGAGCTCAGCTGATGTTTTCAGTTGGATGAGCTTGACCGAGTTTGTGCGAGGAAGAAATTGGAAAAAAATATGTAATCAGTTTCACGCGGATCTTGTTGTTACATGTGTTTGTTATGTCCCCATGTCGGATTAGGCTGTGAGTTTCGGAGTGTTGCTCCCACGACTGTTGCGTTACAGTGAGGCCGGCACGGGCGAGCGATGTATGTAGGAGGTGTCTTGCCTGCGCCAACGTAGATGAGTTCCAACATCTGACCGTTCCGTGTGTGTGTTCTTTTGCCGTCTGTTTCTTTCTTTCACGGACACAGGTGCTTCGCCGCCGCTGCGATGGCGCAGGCGAATGAATTCGAGGTGTTCGAGCCCATACAACGACGGCGGAAGTCCCATGGCCATGGTCAACGAGGATCGCGGACCCGTGATTCGAACGGTGACTCGTACCCTCGTCTGGTTTGTCCTTCGGAGTACGGTGGAAAACCGGATCGAAAGGGGCGAGGAGGAGGCCATCGGCCACGAGATGGGAGCGGGCCATCAGACAGTACAACTCTGGACGCGAAGGATGTGGCCCGAGAGCAGGTCGACGTAGCTGTGGAGAGACTGAAGCAGCGGCGACGAAGTCCTGCCCTGGAAGAAGAGCGCTACCTGGAAGAGGTGAAGCCACTCAGCAGAAACGCAGCGAAAACCAGAAACGTATGGAGCGGGAAAGCTGCTGACTTGCACCAGCTGCAGAGCACAGCCACGGACAGCAACAAACAGCCAGCGCTGTCGGAGGCACCACCGATTCCACCCCGACAGCGCCAGCATCAGCTGCAGGAGGAGGATCACGCCGCCTCGTCCATGAGGCACTACCCTCCCGTGGAGAGGCCAAGCGATCGCCGCAGCAGCACCTCGGTGTGGAGCAGCGCCTCAAGTCGTCACAGCAGCGATAGTCTGGACTGTGAGCAACCACCGTCATTACCTTCACGTGCACTGCCGCCACAATCCAGTATAACTAGCAGTGCAACGAGCAGTTCGTCACTGTCATCCGCCTCTCCGCGAGTGGCGACGTCCAACGCCAGTATCTCCCGGTCCGTAGCAAGCACAGCGGCTGAGCCGTTGTGGAATTACCCCCGTCGGATAAGTACTCCATCGGCAGCCGGGTCGGACAGGTCCGTATCGCACACACGGTCACCATCACCCCGTGTGGCCCTGGACCCTCGGTATGACGTGCTGTGGAGACTGCGCAATGAGGCAAAGAATCAGCAGCAGCGTGAAGACCTGCAGCAGAATCGCCTAACAGACCCGGACCACCGTGTGGCTGCAGCGTACGACTCGGATTCATCATTACCGCCGGCTGAAGTGTACCTGCCTGATGCAGAGCAGCGCAACCAGGCATTCATGAGCCAATCGCACAGCAACGGAGAAGACGGTCCGCCACATGTCTCACTGCACAAGGTCATGAATGAGCTCTTGCAATGCCGTTTCTATTTTGGAAGTTTCAGTGGCCAAGAAGCGATGGACCTTCTATCCACCATGTCTGACTGCAGTTTCTTAGTACGTAACAGCGATGATAGCAGGTCACTATTTGCAGTTACGTATCGCACTGAAGGCAGGACTGGATCAACACGTATCCAGTACAGAGATGGACTGTTCTCGCTGAACTTTCAGGACACGCGGCTGCCCAAGTCTCCCAGCGTGGTGGATCTGATCAAGCGCTGCATGGCGAGATCGAAGCGTGAGCCTGTCTGTATGGTGTACATCAACGACAGGCAGCACATCGTGTATCTGCGGCGTCCGCTGATCATCCCCGACTACTCGCTGCAGCAGCTGGCCCGTCAGGCCGTGCACATGCACTACACACGCGCCGATCTGGAGCGACTGGAACTGTCCGGCTTCATGAAGCTGTACATGCTGTCATGCCCAGCCAGGCCTGAACCACGCCAAATCCAGGCTATTCGCGATGGCCAAAGCGCCTGGAGACTACGCAGTGACAACGGCGATGACGGAGAGGAGAGCGATGACGGTACCGAAGTCTGACCATGTTAAGTAGACAAACTGAACTGTGCTTCAACAGTGTGGTGCGTGCTTGTACCGATTCTCCGTCTTGCGATGTGTCAGTGACCCTTTCTCAAGTAGCATGCTGTCGTTGTCATAGTTGAGATCACAAACCCTGGTCAGTTCTGCCTGGTGTTTCATGCAGTGTTTCGTAGGTTTCTCTTTAACAATGTAGCTTGTATTTGACCTTTTCCCATTTTAGCTCTGGTTCCATCTCCATTTTACTTTGATTCGTTCCACGGTAGTTTTATATAGAGCCCCGGCCGTGAAGCGTCCAACAAGCGGTCTAGTTACTCCTTCCACTTTCCTTTGGTTATAGAGTATTCCCGGTACGATGTTCCATTCATTCTGTGTGTGCGCGCGCGCGCGTGCGTGTGTGCGTCTGCTTCTTTGTTGTTGTTTTTTTATGGGGTCCTGCAACACGCTTGCAGGTGCCATTATACTTTGAGGAGCCCTCAGCTCTATTTTCCAACCCATACACTTGATCGTCGCAGTAAAACCTGTATACTATTTTATCACCACCTAGTGTTTGTAGGGTTTTTTTGTCTTTGTCAAAACTCCTGTTGAGATGAGAGATTGGCGCAAGCTTTGCCAAATAATTTCTCAGTTGTGTTTCTACTTTATACTGACGGACTCTTCTTTGCACGACTCTGAGCTGTGGAAGGAGATTGAAATCATAACACTATGGGGATCATTGTTGTGTTGGTGCCATATGTGTGCGCGCGCGTGTGTGTCTGTCTGTGTGCGTGCGCGGAAAGTGACTGGTATGATGCGGCACAAGAACGGGGAGAGCGGAGGAAGTTGTCTCCTCGTCCTCCGCCAGAGCCAGCGAAGAGTTTTCAGTGCATGTGTGGACGAATATTTCGCCGGGCGGGTGACTTGAAGCGTCACTCCCCATATTGCTCAGCTCCCACGTTATCATCGCACTAGCGATGGGCGTCCAAGGTGTGTGTGTGTGTGTGTGTGTGTGTGTGTGTGTGTGTGTGTGTGTGCACGCGCTCGTGTATGGTATTTTTTTAACGAAACTTTTGTCCAGTAGAATCTCCTCCCCTTGACTGTTTTCTTCATCAGTGACGCCTGAGCCAAGTGCTAGCAGTGGGGCGGCGTGATATTTTACTGCTTTAGTGTGTGTGTGTGTGTGTGTGTGTGTGTGTGTGTGTGTGTGTGTGTGTGTGTGTGTGTGTGTGTGTGTGTGCCTGCGTACATTTTAAGACGGGGGGGGGGGCTTGTTTCCAGCGTGACTTTCAGACAGCAGGGTGTACCCATGTACTTGTATCACCATGGTTCCAACAACTGAGATCAGTCAAGTACTGCTACTACTACTAGTACGTAGTGTGGTCAGACTTGCTCCGCTCAGCGGCCATATCACTTATCACATTATCAGCATCAGCAAGAGTAAGAAATATTGGTGGAAGCATTATTATTTTATTATACTCTTGGTGTCAGATAGTATCTGCCGGACTGTTGTGACTTTTGAGCCTCCTGAGCATGACTCCCGTGAGGACTGTGTACATGTACCAGGTATACTGTTGTACAATCATACACACTGAGCACTGAGAGAAATCACAATGCCCAAATGCAGGAGGGATTTCCCCCCAGGCCCCAGCCTCTCTGACCACTCAAATCATGTTCCATCTACTTCCATCTACAGTGTAGTACTAAAATTAATAATAATACATTGTAGTACATAATTGTATTCTTCTCGACTAGACAGTAGACTGTTTCCGATTATTGCAGTGTACTAGTATGTAGGATTGTAGCCCAAATGCCCAAAGACTGCTTGAGCGGGCATTTACTCTTTCAAACTCACAATCACATTCTCCCCATCCCTGTGTCGGTGACACCCAAACAAAGGAAAGGGCCGCTCTGGTCCATTGATTGCACCATGTATGATGATGTGCCAGCGTGGCAACAGGCATTGATTACATAGCCAGCAAGTGAATTATTAGTTGTCTGAATGACTCATGCTGTATAAAAGGAATGGTGTCACGTCGATGAATTCACTGATTTTATCCACCGGTCACCTACAGCTAAGCTCCTTTTATAAAGTTATACAAGTAACAGTTACGGTTTGCTCCCCACTGACACTGTCTTTGGCATGGCCAGGGAGTCACACGAACCCGGTTTGTACGACGATTCCCTGGCCCCACTCCTTTCCCACCAAAGCCACACACCACAAACCACAAGCTGAGACAAAAAAAACTACTAACTAATACTTAGTACTTACTTCTACAGGTGTGTTATAGGGCCATTAGGGGGTCACACTCACAGGTGCACATACAATGATTATGTACATGAACATTGTTGTAGCTTCCGCAATGAGGCCAAGAGTCCATAACCCCGGGGTTATGGACTCTAGTCTTGATGAAACAGATATTACCTGGCGTAGATCTTGCTGTTGGTTTGTTTCATTCAGATGATCGTGTCCGCTAGAAATGCTGCAGAGTCAACGACTGACTACAGCAAGGGTCCATAACCCCTGCCCTGGGGTTATGGACCCTTGCTGCTACTACTACTAGTACTGTAGTAGTACTCTCCGGTCCCTCCACCCTTCTACGTTCTAGGCTACCTCTGGTCGTGTACTAGTATTAACATGTTGTTGTTGCTGCTGCTGCTGCTGCTGTTGCTGTTGTTGTTGTTGCTGTTGCTGTTGCTGTTGTTGTTGTTGTTGTTGTTGATGTTGCTGTTGCTGCTGCTGCTGCTGCTGTTGCTGCTGCTGTTGTTGTTGTTGTTGTTGTTTGAAACCTCTTATTTTGTTGTTGTTTGATTTCTTTATTCTCACGATGGCACCATCGCCAATAAGTTGTTGTTGCACTACTTTTCGAAGTGTCCACCTGGACTCCTCCTTGGTTTCCCTTTTCTCTCTAGTTCTTCTCTTGTACCTTCTTGCTATTTCACAGAAATGTGGGGCTTTGACTAAAACAAATCGACTTTTCGAAGTGCATGCATTCTCATTTTCGGAGCATACTGCGCACTTGCGATTTGGGGTCTGAAGAATTGCATCTAAAGTGCGCACTATTAGTACTCCGGCAAATACGGTATCAATATCTACATTGTACATGTACATGTGAATGTTTAGGTGCAATTGAGTCACAAACCTTACTCCTCTCCCAATGACATGAAAGGTATGGAACAGTCCGGAATTTAGTACACTAACGACATGTACATGTACATGTAAAAGGAAGTGGTAGAAGTAGATAGTCTACAACTAGAAGTGATGGCAGCATACAGGGAAGATCTACATGTAATTACATGTATGTCATGTACATGTAGCTTTATTCTCCTTTTTTAGTCGATATCATGTAATTAGGCAAATTAAATATTTGCCTGTTTGTTCTTCGACTCTAAAATAAACAAACAACGAACATGTACAATAGTCATGTAGATTGATGACCTGCACTGTAGCTGGTAGTTGTAGAAGAAACATCACATACAATCATCATGTTACTGCACATTCCTATTCTAAGACATGTACATGTAGGAAGCGCGGCATGGTACCGGTACTGTTTGTATGTTTGAAGAGACTGGGAAGAAATGGTAAGTTTTAGAAAGCATCTACTTCGAAGTAGAAGGGGAAGAGAGGAAGCAAAGAATGCCGAAAAGCGAAGTCCATGAAAGTTCAAGATCCATTCCCAGCGCCCATCACAAAAAAAGCTGATATTATAACTACATGTGGTACATGTACATGTATAATACAATAGCGAGAGTTCCCAGATTGCCTAGAGTACTCAACACCACATAACAAGGATGTAGCCACAAAGGCAGAAGAGAACAGAGACAACCGGCTACAATTGTAGGTCATTGTTGTAACGCTGCGTTTCATGCACATACATGTACTTCCAAGAAGTACTACTGTGACATAGCAAAGCTATCAAAGGCAATTATTTTAAAGGTTGTAGCCAGATGAATGAGATGATGTACAGATTATCAGTTGTCTGAGGATTGCCTTAGCCCTGCTACGTGCATGAAACGCAGCGTTACAGCAAGGACCTAGCCGGTTGTCTCTGTTCTCTTCTGTATTCTAATTACAATGACTATGAAGTCACACACATTCAACATAATATTGAAGTGCCACCCATGACTACAAACCCACAGAACATGTCAATATAGAATACGAAATTGGTCAACCTATGCCTATGGATATTGAAGGCGGTTGCATTGATAAAAGAGGCGACATCGGTCCGGATCTCTTCCGCAAATACGATGCCCCCCGCCAAGGATGCAGGTGATGGACCATCTCAGCGGATCGTGAAACTCAGATCTGGAACATGATCATCATAAAAAAAATTCATAATGATGCGCCGTGAAGTGCCAAAACAGGGAGTCGTGAAAACGATTTCTTTCACACCCCTCGAGAAAGAAAAAAATAGCCGGTGGATCTGTACAATCATGACAGATCCTGACATTGTGCATCGGCGATTCATGAATACTACCGGTATGGATGTCTACAGGATCTAGCTAGGACTCGCGATTTTTACGACTTTTCACGCGTGCGCATGGGTACGGCGCAGCCGGACACACTATTTTGACAGGACTACTTTTATAAGAGATTCCTACAATGCTGCGTGACATATTCCTGCAGTAACTAACTTTTTAGTAAAAATGGTTCGAGTAATTTTCGACAAAAGTGACCGACAACTCGATCAGCAATAGCTTGTTGTTAGGACTATCCTACTAATACTAGTGTCATTCCACTTCGTTTGACGATGGAGCTACATACATGTACGGGACTGTACTCATGGGTATATTGCAGTTTTTGCAGGAGAATTCGTTACACCGTTCTAGATAAAACCGAAGCGCGATGACTGTTGTCACTCAGGAGTCAGGTTCATGAGTTCACAACTCCTTGTGTTCAGTTGGCTGCTGACAGGACATGCTCCTGATTCAGTCCTGGCTCCGACGTGTAGGTCGACCCCGATACTGCTTAGCTTTCAAGCGTCGCGTCGGAACCCCGGCTTCGTGGTTTCTCTCCGGCAGGCTGTCGACAGTTCTATGTGTACGTAATAATGCGCGCAATGCAATGGCAATGTTGTGCTAGGCAGCGGAGTATAGCGCACATGGCTTCCAAACTGTGCAGGTTTCGGCGAAATCATCACCGCTCAAGGCTCTCGATGCTGGGAAAGTGGAATGGAAACACTCGGCAATGTTGACTCTGAGCACCCTGGATAAGCCGAGTGTCATTGCTGCCGTAACAAAGTTGCAACCATCAGCTACCGGTCAGGAGAGGTGCCTCCGTGTTTGACCTGTTGGGTGTTTTGTTGGGATACTTACCAGTGGTTCAATACGTCATTGTGTGCTGTAATGGCGCTTGTACCATATACATGTAGAACAATACTCAAGATCAAAGTGCTCTCTGCCACCATACAGCTGACTGAACTCCCCTGACCGAATAATGAATCTCATCCAAACTTGTGCTGGAACAGCACATTTGTAGCCAGCCGAAGGAGGTCGCTACTGACTACACAACAAGGCAGCCATCATCACCATTACGTCGAATGATGGGCGGCTATCGGAATGGTTAATCATCGGAACGCACCACATACAGCAGAGTATACACGCAACGCTAAGGTTAGTGTATGAGTGTCTGGCACATGTATATGTACTGTAGCGGACATTGAAATGCGTTGAGAAGTCAAGCAGTCACGGGGCGCTGGCCGTGCAGCCGCGAGCAGTGCTGGTC